GGCGAAGATGAAGGTGAGAGAAGGGAAACAAATGGAAGTGATAGACCAAGAGTTACTTTCAGTAACTAAAGGAACGGATGAAGCAGAAGCTGACGAAGTGAAAGAGATGGTGAGGTATTTAGGGGTGACACTGCAGTGTGTCGACGACTTCCCATCAAAGAGGCCTAACATGTTGCAGGTGGTTGCCATGCTGAGAGAGCTGGTGCCTGGATCAGCAAGTGGAAGTAGTAACAGTGCTTGAAATTTGAAACAGGTCTCATGTTTCTTGTACGATTATCGATCACTCTTCATCATCATCGTTAATCACTGTAAGAATATTACAACATTTGTAAGAACCTGTTGATCAAATCGATATCAAAAAGAATTTCTTGTAACTAGTTTTGCAAATCTTTTCTTCTTCTAAGAGCAATAGAAGTGAAATTGCAAGAGTTTGAGGAGCATGTAAAGAAAGAGGGTTCTTAGTTTGGCAAACGTTGGACAATGTCGGACAGCCGGAGTTGCTTGTTTGGTAGGCAACCGCTGGATTTGAGTTTTTGACCCAAAGATTCCGTCCGGTTGGACCTTGTGGGCTATTTGTTTTATTGGTCAACAAATTGACTCGGGTAAGCCGTTCGTTTCATTCCACGTGGAAGCAATCAGCCCACCCAGCCCAAATATTGTGTTCGGTTCCAAAACTTGGGCTCGGTTGGTCTCCATTTGACATTTTAGAAACTGGGTTGAGTCTAAATTGATATGGAATCCGGCCCACTTGCAACTTGTGGTTTTAAAAAAAAAAAAAAAAAAAAAAAAAAACATCATCAACAACAAAAATTGTATTATTTAAGGGCTGTGGCTTAACTGCTACGTGTATATAGCACTCAATGCTATGGATATTTTAACCGTTAAATTTGATTGTTTTTCATCTTATTACTTAGCTCGATATCGCATTCTGTGTGGGAGGGATTTCCTATATACAAATATATGCTTGTGGGAATGGGATTGGATGTAGATTTTTATTAAGAAATGGGGACAAAGTCCGAAGATAAAGATCTCTTTCCCCAACTTTTGCACGTAGGGAATATACATGTATATATACACATATACAACTTATTCGTCCTACATTATATTATATGGTTTAGTTTTACTTTGCAGGTGGGGAAACGAACAGTGACTTTATTTCTTTCTCCCTCGCTACTTTTTATTTTCTTTAACAATGACCTTTTCTTCTTTTAATTCTTTAATATCTGACTTGCTGTAAGGTGAAATGGAAAGTTCCATCCACTCGTTCCTTCTTGTTGATGTTGGAAAAAGGTTTTGTCTCTATTTATATCTAAAGATATATAGATGCCGCCATATTATCGTTTAACAAACGAAAAAGTTAAGGTTGTACTATAAAATTTAATTATTTATATGCACATACAAGATTCATTCTTTCTTCAATGTAGATTAACACTCTCAACATATAGACAGTATTGTTTATGGAACTATAGTTTTCTCAGTTCTCTCCTTGTTTTCACTTCACTTTCTCTGCACGTACGTACGTACAAGTTTATAGAGTAAATTTTGTCCTAGTGCAATCACATGCAAAGCAATACAACTTATAATCTGCACATATCCGAACACCCCCGCGTTTGCTTAAGAGATGTTAAATTTAGTTCGATACGATATTAGTATGCGACATTCAATAAGAACCCCAAAAAAAAACATTAAGCTTTTTTATACAACTTATCTATATTAGTACTAGATTTTGTTAAGAGCTATTGCGCAGAGGAACAAACAGGGGTCAGGTAACCCCGTGGATCAGAGGCCAGAAAAATGGCTGCGCAACTCCAATAGTGACCTAATGAAAAGTTGGTGAATAACTCACGGGTGCTCGACGAAATGGTGCACTTGAAACAGGAATTGCGACATCACTCAACAAGCCTTGTGCAGTGCGCATCCACATTTTTTGCACAATGACCCGTAATTTCCAAAACATGAATTTGCAAGTGTGCATTTCGTACTGTGATTTTTCTTGAGTGTCTACAAGCACTCGATGTCCATACATATACATCTCGTCTGAACACAGATGTCCACGTTTTCACTCTGTGCAACACAAAAACGGGTGAACCGGGAAAGGATAAAAGTAAGTGGAAGTGAAAAGAGTCTCCGTAACACGCAAGGGGTAAATTTGAAAAGAAACCCTACTGAGGGATGTACCATACTACGTAGCCAACCCACTAGACAAAAAAGGAAGCCAACCATTAAAAGGTGGGAAAGAGGTGCACGTGGTCCTCACTCACGCTCTCTCTCTCTCTCTCTCTCCAAAGACATATTGAGAGAGAAAGAAAGACAAAGAAAAAGAAAAAGAAAAGCTCAAAAGCAAAGAAAGTTAGAAATGGTGATGAAATGGGCACCCTTTTGGATCACCATCGTTTTTGTGCAAGTAAAAACAGCAAAGCAAAACCACACGCAGTTTTTGAATTCTTCTTTTGCATTAAATCGTGTTTTTATTTTTTGTTTCAGAAGTTAATAAAAAGGCACTGTGTGATCTGCAGTGCTGTTGCTGCAGGACCCCTCCTCCTCCTGACTCCCTGATAAAAGTAGTATGTATGTGGCAGTCCAAGTGAGCAAGCGAGTGGGCGAGCGAGCGAGCGAGTCGTGTGTATTGTTTAAGTTGACAGGGACGAGTGCCTGAGTCTAACCATTCCAGCAGTGGCACTGAAAAACATGGTGGTCTTTTATCTTTTCTTTTATTTTTATAATTTTTTATAGCATTTAAAAGGATTGCAAATGCAGTGAAAACGACCTCCCATCTTTCTCTCCTCTCTCTCTTTTTTCTGTCATTAAATTCAATTTGGTTTCAAGTGTGTGGCATGTAGGTCAGCTTCTCTGAAAGGTGCTTTCCTATCATTTACCAAAATGGTCCCAAAATATAATTCTTCTACATGCAAGTGATAGCCTAGGACTCTAGTCTACACTAACCTACAAACAAGGGGCGAGATTAATTACCCTAATTGACGACAGACATAAAGATCGGACGGATGCACTAGCGACCCGAGTGGTCTCGGGACCATCAAGAAGCTCGGATAAATGATTGTGAGGACTTTCGAGTTGCAAGAAATACTTAAGATTGGGTATGTGGTAGAGGATAATAGTGCAACGGCGGATCGGCGACTGCAGGTTTCGCAAATATATGATTAACATAAGATAATAAGACTATTTTGTGTTTTAAAAGACTTTATCAAAACAATGTTGTTTTGAGCCTAACTATTTAAAACAAAATAATTAAAAGCAAGTCTTGTTATTAAGCTACATGAGGGAGACCCATTTTAATTAGAAAAAAAATAAAGAGAATCTATTCTCTTTCCTTCTACCCGAGATCCCAACCCAATCGCATTTTGCATTCACTTTCTCCAATTGTGTGTGATTCCTAATTCCAATTCCATTTCTCCTCTAATCCCACCCAACCGATTACCAGGCCACCACCAGCTGCTCCATGCCTCCATCTGTCTAAATTAATCATGTAGGATGTCAAAATTGATGTGTATATATTGGATGGTTAGATCATATATATATTTTAGCTTCATATCAATTGATATGGTTCTTTTGTTTTGATTAATTGATTTGTGTAGAAATAGAAGTATGGAACAATATCACAAGCGAAATCATCATCGATTAGTTCAGATAATCCTATTTCAAATAGTTAAACTCTAATTTTAGATTGCTCTAATCCTATCTCCTATAGTTCAACTCCAATTTCAGATAGTTCCAAATCATCATCAATCTGTTTTTTCTTGTATTGACAATGAAACTATCATTACATGTTTTTGGAGTATGAAACCTCGTCGTGAACAAATTTAATCTTTTTAGCTTATAATGTTGTTTGTACAAAGATATGAATGAAAAGTTGGTATTTTCAATTTTATTTTAGTCAAAACTTTTATATTGGGACCATCCGATCCTAGAATCATGGATCCACTACCTCAACTAATTGGCTTAATTCTGATTTATCATAAGAAAAATGTAATTTTGTTTATTATACAACACTGGCACATACATTTTCTTATAATAGTAAAAATAGTAGCACTCACTTGTATTAGAGAGCGTGTGATCTAAATAATCTCATTATAAGAAAATTTAATATAACAATAAATATTTTTTCACGCTCATTTTCTCCTCGTTATACAGACCCTGTTTATTTTTAACATTTGAATCAACAATAAAAACCAAATGATACAAATAAATAAAGGTGTACAGAAGAAAAATAAAATATGCGGGTAAAGGTAATTTCCCTAATTCACCTATTCAGATGTTTAAGAGTGTCCTTCGTTAATTCATTTTGATGCCCTTGAGGAACCAATGCTTAAAAAAGCTAGCATGCATCTAAACTTAACCATGCAGACTTAGTCTGAAAACGACAAATCATGGGCGAGCTTCTAAAGAAGACCTAGCTAGGGTTACTTTTTTCTTTTTGTATTTTAGTTTAATATCTAGGACGTCATAAGAACAGTTAATACACATTAGGGACAGGAATATGATAGGGCCTGATAAAGTTTGGAATCAAATTATCCCTATGATTTGATTTACACAAAAAGCTCTTAAAAATCTCCAAGATAATATGTATAATTTATCCAATGAAATACGAAGTAGAATTCTCTTTCTTCCAAATTCTCCTTATTTTTAGTTATCTACTATTTGAACGACTATGATCAATCGTCAACATTGATTAATATAGTATGGCAACGTAACAACATAGACCAGCCAGAGTACTGCATGCGACTACAGTTCAAGAAATATTGCAGATGACTTAGTGTAAACAAACTGGATAGAATACTGTGCTCTTTCATTGACATATGTTTGAGTTCGTTCCCGCAATTTAAATTAATTGAGTATATAAAGTCTTTCTTCCTCTTGAAATTACGATATAAATGCACGAACTTATTAATGCACAAGCCATTTGAAAGGAAAGTAAATCCAGAAAGTCGTATTTTTACTTCTTTTTTTTTTTCCTTTTTTGTAACAAATGAAGATATATAATATTTGAAATATTAAATACAAGGACCCAATTACAACACTTTTCACGAGCATCCCAAACAATGGTCAGAAATAAAGTTCCCCTACTCTGATGCAGCAATAATTAACTGATGAAAAAGGTGAAGCTTTGTGAGAGGCATGTTCAAATAAGCATTGCATGTGAAAAAAAAAAATACAAAGCAGTTACAAAATATTAGGTCATTAATGGTAATTATGCTGTGTGGTCATGATCTCCTTCTCCTTCGGTTGTGGCGGAGGACATGTAACTCATAGCAAGGGAGGTCTCATCAGAGCGTCCCACTGCTCCTCCTGCTACGGTGGAAGCAGCAGAGGCAATGTGAAAGTGCTGTTTGCAAGCTTGACAAGTGATTTGCAAAATGGCGGAGCTGATTCTCTTAGTCGCCTGCTCTTTGAGCAACAGAGCCTTCTCCACCTCAGCCTGCGCTTGCTGCCTGATCCTCTTGGCGTTCGCGAACTCGATCTCCGCCATCTCTATTTGCCGTTTGGCTTCTCGCCGGGCGTCTTCGGCATACGACTTTTCAGCCACGGCCAATTTCAACTCCTCACTCGCAAACTCTTTCAACCTGACCAGTTCCGACGTCGACCCAACTCCTCCAACAGCAGATGCATTGTTAATGTTCTTCTCATTACCTGGAGAGCTTCTTCTTCTTTTTATATCGGACGATGAATTATACTTGCTCGATTCATTCTTTTCGTTGGCAAGCTGATCACTTGACGGCGATCCAATCGAGAGCTTCAGATTAGTTGCGTGACTTTCGTCTAAATTTGGCTGGGAAGAAGTATGGGCGTTTGAGGACGGAAGGAGCTGAAGTTCCAATATATTATTATGCACTTGTTGTTGGTGCTGCTGTTGCTGTTGCTGACGGTTGCAAGAAATATAAGGATTCATACCGGCGCGCTTATCGTGATGGTGAGTTGGGTTTGGTCGCACCGGGAGTCCAGCCATTACTACTGGAGCTGCCACATTGTTACTAATGCTGAAATTGGCGTCGCTAGAGGGGCTGGTACTCGATGCAGTTCGCGACGAGCAGGCCGCCGGCTGCAGCACTGCCTGTAATTCCGGCCGAACGACGTGTCGGACTGTGCAAGTGTCTTGGTGCTCTATGAAACTTTCCACTCTGCAATCAATAAAACTATATTGCTATCATGATGAAAAACAACAACAAAGAATTAGCCATAAGCGGATGAGCCGTTCGTATATGACATATTCAGGATTACCAACAAACAAATGAATATTAAATTGTTAAGAGGATATGTAGTATGGATTATATGATTTGCTGGGTTCCAAAAACTAATTAAATAAAATATATGATCAGTTAATATATAGCTAGGTGAGCAAAAGAAATCAAATGGGGTAGCCCTATATATTTGTTTAATTAAGTAATTAAAATGGACTGACGACGGTTTTAGTGTGTCCAAAAATAGGTAATTCATTATACTGAATACTTTTGAAACTTCTAAACCGGAAACTGTAGACCTGCAGCGGCCATGAAAGAGAGGATGAGGTCATTTGCCACTGCAGGAAACTGATGCCATACCCTATTTGAATTTCAGAGAGAAGAGGCTAAAATTCATTAATGTTTTGAAGAGAGAAAAAGGTAGAGGTTGCTTGTAGTATTTCAAGATTTGTTCTTAATTATCTGTAACAGCTGCTTTTTTTGGCAGTGCTTTTTAGGGTTTGGATGTGCATATGAAAGAGGAGAGAATAGAAAAAACCTGTCCAACCATCTTCAGATTTCAGATAATAATTTTAGTCTCGCTAGTAGCTAGCTAATTTTATCAACAATTCTTTCTTCTTTTTTTCATAAATAAAATGGAAGATTGGGCGATGTTAAGGACGATGTATAACGCAAGCTTAAAAAATTTAATTTACCTGGAAAAGACACGGCCGCAGTCACAGGAATGTCCTCTGGTGCCGCAGGTTTTGAGGTGTGCTTTGTAATCGGACTGCACGGCGTAGCCTTTGGAGCACTTGTCGCAGACCCACTGCTTGTGGTTGCTGTGTTTTCTTCTGAAGTGTTTTTTGATCCCGACGAGATCGCCTAGGGCGTGGCGGGGGTCGTGGTGGAGGCAGCTGGGCTCCGGGCACACAAACACCTTCTTCTTGACCGCCTGATCTTCCGCTATCTCTCGCTTCAGTAGTTTCCACGGCACCTTATGACGACGCCTGTGCATCTGCAGATTCTGGTCTCTCTGAAATCCCTGGTTGCAGATCTCGCACACGTACCGGTCCGATTCGAGTAGGGTCTTGGGGGACAGAGACACCACTTCTGCATCCGGATCTATAATATAACCAGAATTATTTATACAAAAAAAGAAAAATCAATAATTAAGAATTCTAAAGAAAAGGGTTTGATTAATTAACAGAATTATGGGGTCTTTATTTTATTTTTACCTGGTGTGCCTGCAGGTCTTCTTTTTCGTTTGTGGGTGGCTCCGCCATTTTCATGAGAGGAAGAAGACGGAGGAGCGGAACAAGAGGCGGCGGTGTTGTTGTTGGTGGTGGTGGTGTTGTCGAACATGGGTGGATTTTTGTGAGGACGTGATGGAGGAGTTTAAGTAAGAGAAGAGATAACTAAGAATCAATCAATCCCTACATACACATGTGTGCAGGTGAAGTTGGATTCTTTCATCTCTCTCACAGTCACACATGAGAGAGAAAGAGAGAGGAAGAGAGGAGAGAGAGAGGAAGAGGAAAAGCTCTTGCTTTCTGCAATCAACTTTTTTTAAAAGCTTTATTTAAGCGGCTTTTAAAGGCTTTTTAGCTAGGCTAGCTTTTCTTCCATTGACCCTCCACCTTGAGCAGGTGAGCTTGTGGGAAGTCTGTCTTGTTTATAAAAGCTCTTTTCTTTCTTTCTTTCTGTACAAGAAGGGGAAGAGATCTAGAGAGAGAAAGAGAGAGATTGATGGAGGGGGGAGAGAGAGGAGGTTGGGTTGGGGGTGATTGGGGCTGGCTGGGGATGGTGAGGGTGACCCAATCACACTATTCAGTGCAGCTTAAAACTGAGAGCCCCCACACACATCACAGAATTAGACAGAAACAAAAAAACATCCTTCCCATTACAAAACAGACAGTCATTATTCGTCACACTCCGTAATTTTGCATGAATTAATGCAGGCCCTTCCCAGGCCCAGATCACCCCTTCCACGTGAGCTCTCATCCTCCCCTCCCGTAGAGAGATTTTTCAATGTGATCGGTATACATCACATGTCATTATACAAATGGTAGGGTATATATGCTAAAAAATTAATAACTTAAAAAATAAAATATCCTACCACTTATATTAAAACACGGAGTGTATCACTTATATTCCCGTCACAATTAAAAATTTCTCCCTCATGTGACCCCCCCTCTCTCTCTCCTTCACCACAAATAGAAAAAAAACAAGAGGTAAAATCTGGGTGAAAAAGAAAAATAAATAATAAGTTACATAATTAACTGTACGGGTAATACTAGGTCGGGAAACCAAATTTCTAAACTAAATTTTGTAAAACAAATAATGTGGATGTTGATGATTGGATTATTATTAAGTGTTAATGAACGTGCTTATTTTTTATTTGTGAGATACCATTTAATTTGCAATTTGATTTAAAAATTTGATCTCCTTAACATTATCCTAACACAGTTTGATTTTAACGAAATGATGCCTGAGCTAATCCGGATTAACATGTTTCTTGAAGCAGCTTTTGGAAAGGTAAAAAGTAGTAGCACGATTAGAGATTAGTCATTTTCAAGAGGCCTGCCGTAATCATTTCTCTAACTTCTGTTTAATTTCCATTTTATGTTAATTGTAAATAATAATTAGTCTCTTTTTTTGTTAATAAATAGTAATTAGTTCAAAAACAAATATATTTGCCGCTCTTTGCATGCACATCTCAAACTTCTCGATCTTTCAAATTGGGTGTCCAGTAAAGTAGTAATCGATTACGGTAATTGACAATTATTCCAACATCTTTTCAGAAACCTAGCTTCCCGACCAACAATTATTCTAACATGTATTATCATTTGGCATTGAACTAATACAAAGAAATTCCCTATATGATTAACTATAGGGTTTTTCATATGTAAACGCGTTCCGCTTCTTATTTAGAGAGAGGTGCTGAAATCGTTCCTGTTAGTGTGACATCCCATATCACCTAGGGGTGTGATCCTTATATGTATATTTTCATCCCTACCTAGCACGAGGCATTTTGGGAGCTCACTGGCTTCGAGTTCTAGGGGAACTCCGAAGTTAAGCGAGTAGCGCGCGAGAGCAATCCCATGATGGGTGACCCACTGGGAAGTTGCTCGTGAGTTCCCAAAAACAAAACCGTGAGGGAATGGTAAGCTCAAAGTGGACAATATTGTGCTACGGTGGTGGAGCGGGCCCGGGAAGTGATTCGTCCTGGGCCAGGATATGACAATTTGGTATCAGAGCCTAACCCTGGTCGCGTGTGTGCCGACGAGGACGTCGGGCCCCTAAGAGGGGTGGATTGTGACATTCCACATCACCTAGGGGTGTGATCCTTATATGTATATTTTCATCCCTACCTAGCACAAGGCCTTTTGGGAGCTCACTGGCTTCGGGTTCCATGGGAACTCCGAAGTTAAGCAAGTAGCGCACAAGAGCAACTTCCCAGTGGGTCACCTATCATGGGATTGCTCTCGCGCGCTACTCGCTTAACTTCGAAGTTTCCATGGAACCCGAAGCCAGTGAGCTCCCAAAATGCCTCATGCTAGGTAGGGATGAAAATATACATATAAGGATCACACCCCTGGATGATGTGGGATGTCACAATCCACCCCCCTTAGGGGCCCGACGTCCTCGTCGGCACACACGCTACCAGGGTTAGGCTCTGATACCAAATTGTCACATCCCAGCCCGGGCGAGACCACTTCCCAGGCCCGCTCCACCATCGTAGCACGATATTGTCTGCTTTGGGCTTACCATTCCCTCAAGGTTTTGTTTTTGGGAACTCACGAGCAACTTCCCAAAGGGTCACCCATCATGGGATTGCTCTCGCGCGCTACTCGCTTAACTTTAGAGTTCTCATGGAACTCGAAGCCAATGAGCTCCCAAAAAGCCTTGTGCTAGATAGGGATGAAAATATATATATAAGGATCACACCCCTGAATGATGTGGGATGTCACAATTAGGACGTGCATGTCCCCCGGCACGGTGGACTTAATTAACTTAGTAATGGTGGAAGACGACCAAAATAATTTCGCAATTGGAAAATCAATTAGAGCATAACAAGTGTATAAATAAAAGTTTTTCTCTTCAATTGAGCAAGTGAAGTTTTTCATATAAATTTGATAGTTGTTAGGGTATTGTTTTGTAATTTACATATTATAATGTTGTCAAAATAACTGTTTGATCGCTATTGCCTTATGTGTAAATATAGTCATCCAAGATTAATTTTCTTATGGTTTGGAAGTGCTTTTAAATTGACTAAAAGTTTTTTTATGAGAGTACTTTTGGAATTAATCCATAAAAAAAAATATAAGTGAATCCTAAAAAAACACTTGAAGTGTCTTCCTGAAAGAAGTACATAATTGGTGCCTCCTTGCAAGAAGCCCTTCATGTGCTTTTTAAATCCAAAAACACTTTCATTAAAAGCATTTTCAATCAGTTTAGAAATATTTTCAAACGAGCCATTCGTTATTCAAACTTGCAACTTTGACACTCATATGTCTTCATATGACAGAATGACAGTTACAATTGAATTTGTAAGTTGAATTATACTTTCTTTTCGGAATGCTCCATCCTGTTAAGGGTTGGTACTTTTGAATTAGATAACAGTCAATAAGGGTCTTCGTATATATATGTACTGATAGCTTCAGCAATGCCCATTATTTTTTCAGCTAGAAATCCATCATGATTCTTCAGCACCCTCTACAGCCTTAAACATGCATCACCAACCGTTGGAAAAAAAATCAAGACGGATATCATCACGGGTCACATGCAGTAATTAATAATTATTTTTTATTATTCTTGTTTACATGTGAGCAAACAAGAGTTGGAATTCTCTTGATTAATTAGATAGCAAGAAACTGAAATTTTATTCTCCAAAGTTGGAGCATCTTCTTTTAGAAAAAATACTTCTCTTTGATTAGTTAGTAGCTATTATCCCCATTACAGGAAGCTTCTCCTTCTTCTTATCAGTTGCTAGTTGCAGATATAACTAGGGTTTCGTGACCTTGTGATATTCTTATATAATCTTTCCTTCTTTTTTTTTTTCCGGGTTCTTGCCCCATAATCAATCCAAAAAAATAAAATAAAAGTAAAGTAAAATAAACAAACAACAAATTATAAAAATAATTTAAAACAAAACTACTTTTTGAAAAATGTTCAGAAAACACATGTGAAAGTAAAGTTTTCACCAGATAAAGATGGGGGTTTTGATGAGTGAATAATATATGATGAAGGTGCAGGGCCAGGTTTTTAAGAATGAATATAATTAGATAAAGGAGAAGATGCTTTATTTACTTGTTGAGTTGGAAAGAATGGGGAGAAGGATTCTCGTCACATGCTGGCATGCATTGCTGCATCAAAAAAAGCAATCATCCCTCCCAAGTGTTTGTGATTCCAAATCTAATCAACTTTTCTTAAACTAATCCTTTTCCCACGTAGCAAAACAAGTTAGCTTTAAAAAATTCTGTTGACTTAAACCTAAAGTCCAATTAATTAGTTAATTAATTATCATAAGTTTCTTTTGGGATTTTCTTTTTTAAATTTAATTAACATATGGAGAGTACTACCATATATCTTTCGTTGCAATCGATTTGAAGTTTCCTGGGGCTTGGATTCTTGAAGCATGCCCTTTTCTTCACGGCTAAACAACTCGTTCCTTTTGCTATATCGCCATGAACTGGACTATTTCAATTAAATTTGAGCTGGTGATATGACCACTGTTTGGTAAAGTATAAGTATCTTAAGAACTAAATTTATTAAACTGGACAACACTCCAATATATCACACCATGTCTTATAAATCCCATCTAGAGGAGTCCGACTGTGAGTATTGCTAGATAGACTAATTTATACACTAAATTTGCAAACCGTATAATGTGGCACTAATAAGAAATAAACATATCAATCAACACTTATGTAATATTCAATAATCAACAATTACGTCATATGGTTTATAAATTTGATCTAAATAATTTATCTCTCTAGTTTTACTCGACTGACTTTATGTGTATAGAATTAGCTTGAACTCAGCTCCTATCTTATGCCGTCACATCGACCAAACATTTTCCTTGTTCTTCATTGAAGTTTCCGAAATTTCCGATTTGAAAAAGCAATGCACAAACAAATCCCACAAACATCTGAGATTATATTGGCAAGGAGATGTGTTTGGTTTTGTTCAATAATTTCATGATGGCGTGAGGCCGAGGGCCTGAGGGATTTTTGTCTGGTTTAGTTTTGTTGGTATTCCAAGAACTGGACCAACGTTGGTCTATTCCATTCTTTACTGTTGCACTGAAAACCGAAAAGGAGAAAAATAAAAATTAAAAAATAAAAAATAAAAAACAGTCACAGTACAAGCTATCATTAACAAGCCCATCTATTTGTCCATCATTTCTTCCCACTCAAGCCACATTAAACGTAGTGAATTGAGATATTTTTGTTTGTTTTCTCCACCTTCTGCGAACTTTCATCTTTTATTTCCTGGATAAATCTGTGTGTTTCGCTGTGTACATGCAATGTGTGTAATGATTGAAAAGAAAATTTTGAATAACAAAGTCTTAACAGTACTTATGATCAGATACCATCACAAAGAAACATTGGATGCTAAAACTTCGAATGCATACTTGCTCGCCATTTCGCAAGGACGATCTAACCAAAATGGTTAGGTTAGCTAAAATTATTTACATTTAAATCATTGATCAAAGATATTATACTCAAGTTTTAACGATTGAAATTTTAAAATATTCTAAAGCACCATAAAGTTTTGTTATATTAATCTATTAAATATTTTCATGTTGGTTCAATATCCTAGTAGATATGGCGTTGAGTTTCTACCTATGAGTTCCGAGTTCAAAACTCCTCCATTCCAAT